GGGACTACCCTCCCTAGAGAGAGGCTTTTGCCTAGCCTTGGAAACGGGGAACTGTGATGGGAAAAGGTCCTAGGGTCCCTTCGTTTCCTTCTATTAAGAGGCCGGCACGGGGCTTTCACGACCTGCCGCGACAGGGAGCAAGCTTGAGGGGGGAGACCCCACAGCTTTCCTGGGCACGGCTTTTCTGCTGGCTAAGAAGGCGGGCGCGTCTTGGGATGCTAAGTCTTCTGCTCACAGGTCTGCTGCCTTGGCGAAGTGGTCTGGTATGGTTGGACCATATGCTTTGCATTTTTCTTTTGGAAGGCAGATGCAGGCAGATGTTGCTGCAGGACGACAAACTAGTTTGGCATCCTGGAGGATATATTTGCAGGCAAATCAACTTCGACGCTGCATACCCGCGCGGGACCTGTGGCTCGCTACATGAGTTTTTGCAAGTCGCAAGCTGTTGTTCCTTTCCCTATTACAGAAAGCTCTGCATATCATTATATGCAAGTGACCGGTGAGAAGTGCGCTGCGACCCACCTCCGCAGCTTCGTGGGGACCCTGGCTTTCTTGAAACATGTCATGGGCGCTTATCTGGAGGACGAGGTCTTCAGTCCTAGGATTACAGGTTTGGCTGCAAAGCATTACATGACCAAGAGGAAGCTGCAGCAGAAGCCGCCGCTTCATGCCAAGCATGTTTTTGCTCTAGAGGAGATCGTGTGTGGCAAGGTTGCCAACTACAGTGCTGCTGATAAGGTGGCGGCAGGATTTTTCTTATTCGCCATTTACGCTCGGGCGAGGCACTCGGACGCTCAGAATTCTTCTACTCTTGAAGAGGACCTTTGTGAAGATGAGGATGGCGATGTGACTGGTTTTCTTGAAGCAAGGATTGAGCGTTCCAAAACCTCGACTACTCTAGAGCGTAAAACTCGTTGGTTGCCGCTGGTTGCTACAATCCATGGTATTTCAGATGAGTGCTGGGGTCTGGAGTGGATGAAGGTGCTCGCAGAGAACGGGCCCCCTTTAGGCCCAGGACGGCCTTTGCTGCCCGGGCCCATGGAAAATGGTCAGTGGCAGAACGTGCCGCTGTCCCCCGAGGCGTCAGCTCGTTGGCTGCGAGGTCTGTTGTACAGGCATCCGGCCGACTTTCCTAAGAATGAGATTCACGAGGTCGAGACGCATAGTCTCAAGGCTACCCTGCTGAGCTGGTCAAGTAATTGCGGCCTTTCGCTTCAGACCCGTGCAATTCTCGGATATCACAGCAAGAGCAAAGGAAGTGTTTTGGTGTATGGCCGCGATAACATTTCGCAGCCGTTGCGAGAACTCGACGAGGTGATTCGCGCGGTGGCCTTTAAGAGATTCTTCCCAGATTCACTTCGTTCAGGTTATTTCAAGCGGCCTAAGGATGATGCGGAGCAGCCTGCTGAGCTGAGCCTCTTTCTGATTCTTCTTCGGAAGACTCCCAGGACGAGGAGCGTCCTGACCATCGCGACGAGGAGGAAGCTTTGCAGCTGCTGGACCCGTGGGAGCCTTTTGAGGGTGCTCGTGAGTTGGTTAGTGGCATGCTTGCTTTTAGGCATCACAACTCGCGCATCATTCATTTCTGTGACTCACTTGAAGAGGGAAGCCATCTCAAGTGCGGCAGGGCTGTCACTACTAGCTTCTTTAAGCTGGACGGACTCCCTCGGATGCTGCACCCCGTTTGCAAACAATGCCTGCCGGTGCCTCAGTCGTGACCGCTTCTCGCGCTGATGCAGGAAAAGTTGTGTGCACCGCTAGCTTTGCGCTGAGAGTTTGTGTTGATTTGTGCGTCTGATTCAATGAGTCAGGTTTGCCGAGGGTGGTCCTGTTTCCCTTTACATAGCGTGAGAGTGCTGAGAGTTGGTGCTGACTTCAGAATCCGTTTGAAAGGGGTTCGGATCTGCTGAGAGTTGGTCCTGGCCTCGGCAACGGATTGATGTGGATGCTTGCACCTTTAGAGCAATGCGCTTCGATTGAATACGACTGTCCTGAGCTAGCGGCCCGGATTAGATCAGCTGTTAGTGCCCCTCGCAGAGTAGCTGGCTTCATGGCTGACAGTTCTGCTGCACACAGCGAGAGCACACCAGTGCTGAAGGACAGGCTGAAGCGAGCTGGGTTCGAAGATGCTCAGGTCGAGACGATCGCTTCTTCGGTCAAGACTCTGAAGAACCTGGCATTTATTTCTTCCTATAGTCCAGGCCAGGCAGATGATGCCCCTCTCATGGAGGTGCTGTCTTCTTTGCTGTCGGAGCCTGATCTTTCGATTGCGTTGAAAGGTTCGTGGCGTGCAGCTTTTCACGAGGCATATGCTGTTGCTACTGCAGAGCTTAAACAACAGGTAGAAAGGTCAGAGGAAGTTCAGGTGCGTGCCCTCACTCAGCCCGAGCGAGCCGAGAGGTACGAGAAGCAGGTGAAACGTCTTAGTGGCGTGGACATAAAAGGAAGCTCGGAGCCCTCTGAGCGGCTCGTTGATGTATGTGTTGCCATCTACGAGCGCAATCAGCTTCAGTACGTGCCCTGGTCCAGGTGCTCCTCCAGGGAGCAAGAGGCACAGAATGAATCCCGTAAAGAGGTCAAGCTGGCTTTGGATGGTTCGGGCAAGGTTAAAGTTGACTCTGCCTCTAAGGAGGTAGTCGCTGATACGAGCACGGAGGTGCTCGTGATGCAGGCCCTGCAGCGCAGAGCTTTGGCCATGGAACAGGCTAACATTGTGTCTTACACCTTGCTTGACCTCTGGCATCAGCGTTTGATGAAGGCCCGTCTCACGGATCCCCCGCCTGGTTACTCGAGGCCTTCCTTTGACCAGCTTCGCCTTGCAGATCAGAAGCTTTTCAGTGAGCTTCAGGATGAGACAAGGTCTGGGATTCAGGCATTGAGTTCGGGGCGTCCTGTTGACAACTTGATCAAGGATGTGATGCACCGTGCGGAAGTGAGTTCGCTGCTTTTGCCGCTCCCAGCGCCTAGTGTGGCGTCGGTTGCAAAGTCCACGGCTACAGCGCCGCCGCCTCAGCCGACGTGGAAAGGAAACGGCAAGGGCAAGGGCAAGTTGAAAGGGAAAACGGGGCGAATGGGCACCCCTCGTATGCCTGCTGAGTTGGAAGGCTGCAAGGCCTATACGCAAAAGGGGAAGCCGTTGTGTTATGACTTCATGTTAAGATTTGTAGATGGGAATGTGTATAGTAGTGTATAGTTACCCCACACCTTTGTTG